TCTAATTGTACTGAAATGTGATTTTGATTGTATGTTAATAAATAAAGTTGCCTGGGCGTCAGAGCTATTAGAGCCATAGCAAGAGTGTGGCAGTGGTGGCACATGCCTTTAATCCCAGCACTTGGTAGAAGAGCTAGGTAGATCTCTGTGTGTTCAGGGATACAGCCATCATTGCAGGCAGACATATGCCTTTAAGACTTGGGGGGGGGGCTGTACATACAGACAGTGTCGAGGCAGTCATGTGTTTGGGTTTACAACCAATGAGAAGGCAGAACAAAAAGACTATGAAAAGACGTACACACAGGAAGTAGCTCTCTTTCGGGAAGCTAGGACCACTGCAGGAGGAAGGATGAGATTTTAGCTCTGAGCTCTAACCTCTTGGCTTTCTCTTTTACATTGGTTCTGTGTTTCTTATTTAATAAGACGGTTGGTTACATCTACACTGAGCCATCTCTCCAGCCCAAGGAGAAGATAGATTTTTCCATACACAAATTCAAAACTATGCAGGAAAACTCATGCACAAAAAAATCAATACATACAAATACATTCTAAATGAAAAGTGGTACTCTCTTCTTAAAAATAACCACTGCAGGATTCAGAGTTCTGTCTGTATACTAAGCAACATAAGAAACACATTTACCATGAGCTGATTTTATTTGAATAATTTCAACATTTGCTGTGTGTTGCTTACACCATGTATAAATATTTAGAGAGTAAATCCACAAGCCAAAATAATCCTAAATCATTTTGAATATAAACAAGGTTTAATAACACCATGGTTTTCCAAACTCAATAAATCATGGCCCCACAAAGCCCCCCTCAGGGATCTCTGTCCCTCTGTTCCTGTCAGCTAGCCCTCAGGTTCAAGCATTCTGGGATGCATACCAGGTCTGGGGATTGGACAATGAGTGGAAGCAGAATCTTTGCCTACATAGACTCCCCTGCAGGTGCAGGCAGATAGAAAGAAGGGCCCCTGGCTCACCCACACTGGCCACCACAGGACTTCCATGTAGTCAGGAGAGGTCAGAGCCTAGAAACTGAGCTCCATTTCACCCACTGCTCCAGCTCAGCATGGAGACCACATTCAGGCCTGAAGCCTCATCCCTTCACAGGACCACAACTGCTGCAGCATCCTGACCTGCCATCTATGCCAGCCCTGCCCCTGGCAAACAGCCACAATCCTGAAACAACTCCACCTGAAGTGAACATACCATGCCCAAAATTGTCAAAGAGGCTTGGCCCACCTGGGATCCTACTGGATTTCATGGAAAGGGTGGGATATCACCCTCAATTAAACCTCACTCCTCAAGGATCCATTCCAGATCCAAATATCTCAGCCATCACCAGGTGTGTGGCCCTTTTCCTGAGCATACATGTCACCAAGAGCTTGGGAATCAACTGAAGGACTCCAAATTTGTTTCTGCTGTGTTGGTTCATTAAGCAATTCATGGAGAAGTGAGCAAAAAGATTTACCATAGTATCTAGAGTTCCTGCCTGGGCTTCCTCTTCATGATGGACTGGAAACTGTGATGAAATAAACTCTTTGCTCCCTCACTTGCTTTTGGTCAGTATTTTCTCACAACAGCAGAGTAGCAAATTAATCTATGCATCTGGACTTTGGTGTGTTCTTTTGTTAGTTGTTGTTTGAAGCAGGGACTGTATATGGACTCCTTCCTGGGTGAGAACTTCTAATCCTACTGTCCCAAAGTCTCCTGTTCCAAGGTTCCAGGCAACTGCCACTATAATGTATTTGTCTTTAAAATCTGATTTCTTCATAATAAGAGAACTGTGCGATGGATCAATTAATCCCTATTTCAAGTTGTACTATAGAGCTATAGTTATTAAAACAGCATGGTATTGGCAGAAAAAGAGACACTGTGATGAATGGCATGGAATGAAAACTCAGACATACATCCACACACTTATTAGCTCCTAAAAGCAGTCCAAAACACAGTGTAAAAATGACACTCTCTCAACACACAGTACTGGTCAAACTTGTTTCCTTCATGTAGAAGAATTGATATGGACCCACACTTATCACCCTACACAAAAGTCAACTCCAACTGGATCAAAGAGATCAATATAAAAACAGATACAAATAACATGATAAATGAGAAAATATAACCTTAAGCTCTATGACAGAGAAAAGTTCGCTGAACAGAACAACATTAGCAAGAAAACCAAACATAAATAAATAAATAAATAAATAAATAAATAAATAAATAAATAAATAAATAAATAAATAAATAAATTAGACCTCATAAAATTGTAAAGCTTCTTTCTGCACAGCAAATGACACCATCATTTAGACAAAGTGGCAACCTAGAGAATGGGACAAGTTTCTTTTTATCAATGACACACCTTTTAGGGGGATAATACCCAAAACGTGTAACAAAAACTAAAAACTAGGTATCAGATAAACAAATAATCCACCTGAAAAATTGGTTAGAGTTCTAAACAGAAGATTCATAGAGAAACTCAAGTGGGTGAGAAACACTTAAAAGATATGTTCAATATCCTTAGCCATCAAGGACATGCCAATCCAAACAATTCACAGATTTCATTTCACATCATCACAATGGCTTAGGTCAATAAAATAAGTGACAGCTCCTGCTGGCGAGGATGTGGAGTAAGGGGAACACTCACCCATTGTTAGTAGGAGTGCAAATTTGTCCAGCCACTATGGACACCAGTGTGGAAGGTTCTAAGGAAGATGGGAACCGAATTACCTCAAGATCCACCTATACCACTCTTGGGAATATACCCACAAATTGCCACATGCCACTAAAGAGATGCTTGCTGAACCATGTTCATCCAGGTGGACTGTCTCTTCTTCATCCTCAGTCGAAGACTTACTTTCTTTGCCCTGAAAGAGACACAAAAAGAGACTGTTACAGTCTAACATCACAGGTCCTTGACAAAGTAGGGAAGAGAATCTGTGATGCCTGCTGGGTGTTTACACTGAGAGGTTAGAGGCACCATGTTGGAAGACCAAGGGCTCTCATGATGGTGACTACAGAGCCAAAGTAAGCAGAGATGAAACACAAAGGCAGGAGAAGTTTTACTAACTTCAGCAGGTAAGGAGAGCCTGGGCATTGATTGGAAGTCAGTGTCTTCCTGGAATGTAGAAACTATGGGGATTTTATGCAGGGGCATCTACATATTTTGAGATGTGTGTCAATTCTGGAAGATGCTCATTGATGGATTATCTGACACTTGTAAACATGGTCATTTCAAGGTCATGTATCTCATACATTTTAGTGTTAAATGAGAGAGGACTGTGGGAGAGAAAGAACCACTTTTGACTGTATCTGTCATGGCACCTAAAATATAACCTGACACTGCCTGATTAGAGACACATGATTAAGATTGCACTAATGCTACTTGGAGAGGACAGGGACATGAGAGAAGAATATCAAGATTACAAATGTCATATGACCAACTGGAGAACTCTGCTGATGTCCATGCCATTACTTCTTCCCATTGTGTTGAATTGTATTTCTGTAAATCTGAAGTTAAATAAACCCTGCCTCCTGAAAGTAGATCTTTGCCAACTATTAGACCACGCATGAGAAAAATTAGTAGTGGAGTGGTTGGTCACAAGAACGTGAGAGAAAAAAATTAAAAATCACTATGGATTTTGCCAAGCCTTGATTGGACCACTGCATGTGACATCACAAGGAGTCCAAGTGATGTAAGCTAGATATCAGCCAATAAAAGGGCGCCACCTAGGGCTGGGTTTCATCTTTGTACTTCAGAGAAGCAGTTGGTTCTCTGAAGAGCTGTTGTATTCAGTTGTATCTGCTAGATTTGGACTTTTCAAAACCTGTAGGATTCTCAACTTAGTGAGTACATTTCCCAAGTTTTCAGTTTTTGCTTTTATCTATTAGTATTTATTCATTGCTTTATTGACATCATTGGTTTGAATTTTGATTTTTGCCTGTAAGTTCTTTTTTCTCATTTCACCTCATTTTCTTTTTATCAACTTCTTTTCTTTGTCATTTTTGCCTTTGTTCTGGTGTAATTTACACACATACTGGTATAGATTATCTCCATGGCATGAGGAATTTGATCCTGCATTCCCATATCTGACTATGTTGCATTTTGTTCCTATTTACATGCTCTATTTCACTTACCCATACATCAACTGTGACAAGTACTTCTAATGATCTAAGGTCCTTCCCTCTGCATGTTCAGGAACCCTAGGAAACAAAATGTGACACTTGTGTTTTTGGAACTGGAATATTTGAAGTAAGACTTTCTCTAGTTCCAAATGTGTTGGTGAAAAAGGAATTTCATTTCTTTGATGTCTGATTATAAGACTTACCTCAATGTTGTGGGTGTGCTCTACTTTGCGTCAATTTGTATGTGTGGACAAATCTGCCTGGCTCTGCCTCCTGAGTGCTGAGATTAAAGGCGTGTGCTACCGCCACCTAGCTGGATTTTCTATATTTCATGAGGGGAGGGATGGAATGGCCAGAGCTTACAGTAGGACAGTGATGCCTGGATGGGTCTTCCTTTCAGAAAAAAAGCTCATTAGTAACAATGGACTGGACACTCATTGGGTGTCTGAAGGGGTTTTATTCCCACCAGACAAAGTATGTCTCCATGAACTTCATGGTTTCTGAGGGGAAAGTAGGTGCTTCAATAGCAAGAAGCAGGCTTGGTTAACATAGGAACTATGTTACATGACACAGTATGAGATCTGGAATTTAGACCTCTTGCAGAACTCATTGTATTCTTGGAGTGGGTGGGAGAGATATGGTCAATGTATGACTTTGTGACAGCAATGAATCTTTGTGGCTTCTGGGGAAGTAATTGGAGTGGGTTGGAAAGAGAGCAGCCCTCTCTGCTAAGGGCATTTGTCCTTGGGGGCAAGAACATGAACAGGAAAATAAAAACTATTTGATAATTAATGTAATAATTTAACAGAAAAATAATTTAAAAAATCACTTTGGTTTTTTGCCAAGCCTTGATTGGTCCATTGCATGTGACATCACACGGATTCCTTGTGAGGTATGCTAGATACTAGCCAATCAAAAGGCACTGCCTGAGCCTGGGTTTTGTCTGTACTTGAGAAAAGCAGTTGGTTGGTGGGAGATCAGTTGGACTCAATTGTTTCCCATACACTTGGCTTTTTCTCTGACCTTTTGGATCTGGACATAGAGAGTTTAATTCCCATGTTCTCAGTTTGGGTTTTTGGGAATTGGCATTTATTTATTTATTTATTTATTTATTTATTTATTTATTTATTTATTTACATTTTTGGTTTGGGTACTAATTTTTCCCTGTATTTGCTCAGTGGTCATTTCAAAGTATTTTCCTTTTTATCAACTTCTTTGTCATTTTTTACTGTGTCTTGTGTATTTACAAATTTAGTATTATATATTAAATGCATAGGATGAGGATTTAATCATGACTATGATATCTGTCTGTACACTACTTTGATCATATTTATCTGCCATATTTTACCTCCTGACCCATTGAATTGGACAAGCACTTTGTCAATGGGACAAGTCCCATTGATTTGGAACCACATACACACACTATCCCCCTGTCTGCTCATGACCTGGAGTGAACAAAATGTGACACTTTTGTTTGTGGAACTGGCTTGTTTGTAGTAACACTTTCACTAATTCCAGGTTTCCTCCTGAGTTAGACATTCCATTTCACCAATGTCTGACTTAGGACTTACCGCAGTGTGGTGCGTATGCTGTGCTCTTTGGCAATTTGTGTCTGTTGACAAATTATGAGTGTTCCTGGTTAAAGACATCTTGATAATGAAGTCTGGGTTTAACATGGTGTTGAATTTGATGGCAGATATCAATTAGTCTCATTCATGTTTTTCCAATTTGTCAGTCAATGATATTGCCTGATACTAGGATCTTTTTTAAATGTCTTACATGGTTTAAATTTGGGGAATATTTCTTTTATGAAATGTGTTTGAATGTGTGCCTTACCTCAGTTATATGATCTATTGAAATACTTGTGAATCATTGCTGCTTGTTGTTGAGATTGGACAAGTTGATTTCCAGTTTGCTTGTTTTGGCTCCTGGGATTTAGACTTGTTCTTTCATATTTATATTTATGTTTTTCATTGTTTCTTTCTATTTATTCTTCTTTTATTCATTTCATCCTGACTTCATCCTTCCCTCCTTCCACTCCTCCCAAGTGCCCCTCACCTCCTCTCTCCACCAGATCTACTGGGCTCTGTGTCCCTTTAGAAAAGGGCAGGCTCCAAGGGATAGCAACTGAACATGGAATTACAAGATGCAATAAGAGTATTTTAAAATATTTGTTTTTGTTTAGAGACAATTTGTGCTTAAATTATCACTTCCCTCGTTAAATGCTCCCCAATTTTCATTTTTGAAAATTCAATCTTTTATTTCCATATTTTTTTCTCTCCTGTATAGAAAACATTTTCAAATTTACTGGACTAAATGCGTATTTTTTTTCATTTTTCTTTATTAAGAAATTTTCTACTCACTCTATATATGACACACAGATTTCACCTCCTCCCTCCTCCCACCCCCAGCCTTCTCTTTCACGCCACTCCACATCCCCACATCTCCCAAATCAAGGTCTCCCATGGGGAGTCAGCAGAGCCCGGCACACATTGCCTAGGCAGGTCCAAGCTCCTTTCCACTGCACCAAGGCTGCACAATGCATCACACCACAGCAACCGGATTCTCAATGGCCTGCCCATTCACCAACAATGGATCCAGATCCCCCTGCGTGGGTGCCCCCCAAACAGTTCAAGCCAAACAACCATCTTCCATATCCAGGAACATAGACATTCCACATCCACTAGTCTACAGTTCATAGGCTTCCTCTAGTGTGACCAGTCATCTCTGCATGTCTTCCCATCATGACTTTGACGTGCCCTACCTGTAGAATCCCTCCTCTCTCTCTCAACTTCTTCTGTTTCTTCTGTGTTGGGATGGTCAGGTCTTGCTAGTGTAGGATCTGATGGAGCCTTATTGGTTTTGTTGTTGTTGATTGTATTTATGTGCTGGCGTCTACCCATCTATTTCTCCACTTGGTGCAAGTGGTGTCTGTGTCTGAGGGAGGCTCTCTTGGTTTGATTGATACTCTTGGTCCAATGGGAGCTCTTGATCTAGTCGGTGCTGATGGACACTTTGTCTCAGGGAGCAGATCTTAGTCCAATTGGCACTCCTGTGCTCTCTTAGTCCAGTCGGGTGCTGGCGGGCTCTGTCCTAAATACATATTTAAAACACATTTTATATATTATGTGTAATATATATATATATAACGTATTATAACATTTATAATTGTGTATATTATAATATATGCTAATTATAATAATATGATGTATGATTCCACTAGTTTAGACTTAGAATATATTATTCTATATTACATAATCATAATTTTAATAATCACATCTCTACAATAAGTGTAAAACATTACACTATATACATATTCCCATAAGCAATTGTACGATGCATTTCCCTACATGTCTATAGTATACTTGATCATATTCCCCTGCAGTACATCAGTCCCGAACCATGACTTTGTGACTGATACTGTGACTTTTACACAAGCATAGTCCTCTCCTTCCTCATGACCAGGAGAGACAGGGTAGATCCTGTTTCTGTTGTGGACCTGCTTTGTCTCCTGTAAACTCTATCTAGTTTAGCTACTTTTTTTATAACACAACAGTTCTCTAGTCACTGTCCTGACCTTGGATTCTTCCCACAGTCTCCTTATGTGCTATGCTGTTGTTCCATTTTTACAAATGTTACTTCTGCTATTCTGATCCTGAATTGAGGGCTCTTTAGTGTGTTGCTGAGATGGAGGTGAAGTATGAGGGACTCTCATGAATGATTTTCACATCTATGTTCATCAAGGAAAGGAGCTCACACTTGCTCCATTCGTTGAGCTTACTTGGAGTTGGGATCAGGCTAACACAGGCACAGGGATGGGTTTGCATGAGTGCTTTTGTGCTCTCTCATGAAGTATTTTCTATAACACTAGTCTTGATTCTTCTGCAAAGCTTTGAATGATTCAGGGGTTCCATGAGATTTGGGCTCTGCCTTGTTTGGAGCTGTTTTTGTTGAAATCCAAGCTTGTTGATTATGACTTAAGTGTTTATTTAAGTGATTTTATCTTAATTCAATATTCACATATATCTAATAATTCTAATAATTCCTTTCATATTTTCTAATTTCCTGAGGTAACATCCCTGGAACACCCTCTGGACTGTAGTTGTTTCATTTACAACATCAGCTTTTCTATACTGTAATTTGTATCTCATCTCTCTCCATCAGCTTTGTTGAGGGGTTTGCATTGTGGCACATCCTTGAAAAGAAGCAGCTCATTCTATCAGGGATCTCGGGATTTTTCTCTGCATGCCAACCTTACTTATACCAACTCAAACCTTTCCTAGGATTCCTCATGCACTAGTTTGAGTTTGGGTTCTTGTAGTATTTTTATATCCTTGAAGAGCATCATTACATTGTTTGGGATGTCTCAGATTTCATGACAGAGAATTCCAATCTATAGCCTTCCCTCCTTAAACTGCATTCCTTTTTTTCTTTTAGCATTGTGTGGGTCTAAAATTTCCCACAAGATAAAGTGGTTGAAATTGAGCAGAACACCATGGGCAGCCACATGGAAGAGGACATTCTGGAAAAGGATTTCAGGATATTAATATCTCTAGGGTGTGATTCATTCGGGGAGGTGAAGCTGGCCTGCCACCTTCCCACACATACAAGAGTGGCTATCAAGGTCCTTGAGAAAAACACCAACAGTGTGGCTGACATCAGCACTGAAGTGAACATACTTCAGTCTTTAGAACATAGGAACATCGTTCGGTTTTTTCACATGATCGACACACTGACAACCACTTACGTGATTATGGAATATGTGGCAGGAGAAGATCTGGAGAGCTGCCTCCAGGCACTGGGCTGTCTAAAGGAGGAGGAGGTTAGAGGGATTTTCTGGCAGGTGGTGTCAGCGGTTCACTTCCTCCACCAGAGACACATCGCACACCGTGATATCAAATTAGAAAACATCCTAGTCGATGCAGCAGGAAATGCAAAGCTTTGTGACTTTGGTATGGCATTTGAAATCACAGAGGGGCAGATGTTGGAGGAGATCTGTGGCTCCTTGCTCTATTGGGCCCCAGAGATCTTGGAAAGAAAGCCCTATGATGGACTGGCAGGTGATATGTGGAGCATGGGTATCGTCCGGTATGTCCTGGTCACAGGGCACTTTCCATACATGGAAGAAACCCTTGAAGGTATGCACAGGGCCATCACCACCACAATGTGTCCCATTCCCTACCATCTGTCCAAACCCTGTCACTTCATCATTGCCCGACTACTCATGGTCACCACCTGGTACCGATTCACAATCTCTCAGCTTGTGGAAAGACCATGGCTGGGTCCCATTCAACAACATGTACTGCCTGCCACCAAAGAAATCCTGCCCAGGGTCGTGGAGTCTATGTGCACCATAGGCTATACCTGCGAGGAGATTGTGTCATCCCTAACTCACAAGCAACAAAATAATCATGTAACGGCCACATGTAACATTCTCAAACACCAACTGAGTTGTGGGGACAGCCATCAACAAGATCAGATGCACTGACTAACCAGCATTTACAAACAGTGAACCAGCATTTACAACCAGAACACAATCTCGGAAGAGTCACTTTAAGGAGCAGGGTGGGGAAGAAAGAGGTGAAACATGCAGAAGCCACAGCATGCCTCACAGACTCTCCTTCCTGGAGGTGCTGTCCTCTTCAGACAACACAGTCCCAGAAAGAGATGCTCTTGTGGCTGACATAATCAACACTGCTGCAGAGGACATTGCAGTCAACAGGAATTCTGTTGACCACCTGCCTAGCAATCTCTCCTCCCCTGAGTCAGTCTTGGATGAAACACCCACAGGATTTCTGAACCTGAGCTTCTCTGAAGAAGATTCATCCCAGGAGCCAGACATTCCCAGTGACCAGCCCCAGATGGCACCCACGACATCTGGATCCAGGCCATTCAGGGTCTGGAAACTGGTGAGGAAGGGAATTTCCCATGCACTTAGAGCACTGTACTGCTGCTGCTGCTGCTGCTGCTGCTGCTGCTGCTGCTGCTGCTGCTGCTGCTGCTGCCTGCCCACCCCAAGGTGAGCCCTAAACCCTTGCATCAAGGCCTTCATGGAAAAGAGGGACAGGGGAGACCTACATGGAGAACAGTTGGTTGGGTCAAACAGATCAATTCCTACATTGTGTTCTCAATATGCTATTTCAATATCCTTTTTAAATGAAAAGTTGTACCCACTCAGAGGGCACAGCAATTCAGATATGTGGTACATTAGATGGCAAATTGCACAGCATCCTGTTCATGTAAAGTCCTGGAAGGTTGTGGCAGACTGGGAAGGAAGGGAGGAGAGTTTGTCTAAAGGGGCCAAAGGGTCAGAATGGAGGAATCAGGAAGAGAAATATGGCACAGAACTTTTATCTGCCAAAGTCACTAAGAGAGGTGTTTTCATATTTCTTTCTGCTTTGAAGTGTGGAAAATAAAATGGCCCAATAGAATTCTAGCCCTGGTGAGGACCCACGGAAGGGACCCAAATGTCTGTTAGTTCCCTTATTTCTCTGTTAAGTTTCTTTCTGGCAGACATGTCCATTGGTGAGAGTAGGGTTTTGAAGTCTCCCACTACTAGTGTATGGAGTTTGATGTGTGATTTAAGCTTTAGTAATGTTTCTTTTACAAATGTAGGTGCCCTTGTATTGGGGGCATAAATATTCACAATTGAAACTTCATCTTGTTGGGATTTTCTCTGTGATAATTATGTGATGTCCTTCTTGATCTCTTTCAATTGATTTTAGTTTGCAATGTATTTTATTAGTTATTAGGATAGCTATACCAGCTTGCTTATTAAATCCATTTGATTGGAAAGTCTTTTCCCAGCCTTTTATTCTGAGGTAGTGTCTGTCTTTGAATTTGAGGTGTGTTTCAGGTATGCAACAAATGGATGGATCATGTTTTCATATACATTCTGTTAGCCTGTGTCTTTTTAGAGGTGAATTGAGACCATTGATATTAATGGATATTAATGACCAGTTATTGTTAATTCCTGCTATTTTTGGTGGTAGTGTTGTTCCCTTCTTTGGTATTTGTTTGTGTGGGACTATCTATTACCTGTGTTTTATGAGTGTATCTAACTTCCTTACGTTGGATTTTTCCTTCAAATGTGGTGTGTAGGACTGGATTTGGGGATAGATATTGTTTAAATCTGGTTTTTTCATGGAATATTTTGTTTTTTCTGTCTATCTTGATTGAGAGTTTTGCTGGGTATAATAGTCTGGATGTCTGTCCAGAACGTTCTAACTTTTAGAGTCACTATTGAGAAGTGAGGTGTTATTCTCTTGGTTCTGACTTTATATTTTACTTGACCTTTTTCCTTCACAGCTCTTAATGTTTTTTCTTTATAATTTATACTTTATACTTTAGTGTTTTTTTTTATTTTGTGGTGAGGGGACTTTTTTTGGATGCAGTCTATTTGGTATTCTGTATCCTTCTTGTGTATTTCTAGGTACTTCCTTCTTTAGGTTGGGAAAGTTTTCTTCTATGATTTTGTTGAATATATTTTCTGTGCCTTTGAGTTGGTATTCTTCTTCTATCCCTATTATTCTTAGGTTTGGTCTTTTCATGGTGTCCCAAATTTCCTAGACATTTGAGTCATGTTTTTGTTGGCTTTAGTTTTTTCTTTGACTGTTGAATTTATTTCCTCTATCACATCTTCAACACCAGAGATCTGCTCTTCCATTCATTGCATACTGTTGGTTATGCTTGCATCTGTAGTTCCTGTTCATTTGCTCAGATTTTCAACTTTCAGCATTCCCTCCGTTTGTGTCTTCTTTACTGTCTCAATTTCAGATTTCAAATATTGAACTGTTTCCTGCATTTGTTTAGTTGCTTTCTCTTGACTCTCTTTAAGCGATTTACTGATTTCTTCCATTTTGTTTGACTTTTCCTCGACTTATTTAAGGGAAAATTTCATTTCCTATTTAAAGATCTCTATCATCTTCTTGAGGTCATTTTTAAGGTCTATTTCTTCTGTTTCTTTTGTATTGAGATGTTCAGGTATTGATGGTGTAGGTTCTGATGGAGCCATATCAGTTTTATGTTGTTGACTATATTTTTATACTGGCATCTACCCATCACTTCCTTCACTTGGTGCAATTGGTATCTGTGTCTGAGGGAGGCTTTCTTGGACTGTTCAATATTCTTGGTCCAGTGGGAGCTATTGGTCTAGTTGGTGCTGATAGACTCTTTTTCCCAAGGAGCAGCTCTGAGTCCAATTGGCCCTCCTGGGTTTTCATAGTCCAATTGGCTGCTGTTGTGCTCTGTCCTAAATACATACTTAAAACACATAATATATATTGTGTCATATATATAACATATAATACTATTTATAATGTTGTGTATTATCATTTATGCTAATTATAATATAATTCTAATAATATTATAAATTAATAATTATATTTTATAAATTATAATTATATTAAAAATTATATATATATAATAAAGTGTGTAATGGAGACTAAACACATGGAACAGAACAGAAAGCTCAGAAACAGACCCAGCAAAATCATGCCAGTTGTTTTTCCCATAATTACCCAGGGAAATCAAGGCACAGAGACAGACTTGTCCACAAATGACTGCAGAAGAATATTTAAAAACAAACAATAAGGAACCCATGAAAAACTGAAAACAGTCACCATTTCAGTTGACCCCAAATACAAGCACTATAATGTTCACATGAAGTTATAGAAGAGGACTACATAAGTTCCTGCCTTATAAAAGGAGAATCAGAAATATCACAGAGATAAACTATGGACTCGGGATCCCTGCTGCCAATAGCCATGAAAATGCAGAGGCTGGAGCATAGCTGGATCAGACACTCCCCCAGAACATTTAGAGAGAGCCTGGCCCCTGACAAATCCCAGCAGACAAGAAAACCCTGACAGTTAACGTTGTGTGTCTATGAGGAGGTGGATGTGTAGTGTGTGCTGTGTGGTGTGATGAGTGCTGAAACCTATCCCATGTGTGGGATGGAGATGAGCTGTCCAGCTGATCTGATAACAGCACTGTATGGATGGTCCAGTCAGCTGGGGAAAGCAGCAGAGCTGATACCTAGATACTCATATGATCTACCCATGACCCTCCCCTTGTTAACAGCTTACATATAAGGTCAATTTAGGGACATGAAAGACAACCCTAACTGACACTCACCATATAGTTGTCTAGGTATTAGGACTAAATATTCAACTCTATTTTGCTGTCCCACATACAATACTAGACTCTAGACCAGGCTAGACATGCCTCCAATCATAGTGTACTAAGACATGGGGAAAGGTATCAGGCCCTGTTGGACACTTGACCTCCTGACAAGGACACACAGTTACTGCTTCGTTCAAACACTCATGTAATCTTCCTGCACAGACAAACAACACTACGTATAAAGCAATGTGGGACACTACAGACATGCCACCTCATTTGTACTACCAGCTGTCAGACCAGATAAACAACCCCTACATCACAAACACACACACACACACACACACACACACACACACACTCTCTACACACACACACACACAAAAAAAAAAACCTCTAATACACATACTTCCAAGTATGGGCCATGCATGACTTCCCACCTAATCACACATTGACTGCTAGGTATCAGGCCTTCCTGAACAAACACACCTCACATGTATTCCTAGGACTGGATCACAAATGTCATTCACATAATCCCTTATTAACAGCTAATTATCAGGCCAATAAGGACACTCTCTTGCCACTGTACCCAAATACTCTCAGTATTGGACCCCACTTGACACCCTAATATCACTGAAATTCCACATACACTGCTAGGGTTCAGGCCCTCTTGAACATCACACCACACCACCACAATCTACAATGTTAGTATCAGGGCCCACTGGATACCACATTCCATCAACCATATATCCCTGTTGGATATCAGACCTGCTGGGCATTCCAACACTCCATGACAACTCCTACAAGGCTAGCTGACGTTCCTGGAATGCACACATCACCCTGCACCCGCCTCACATGCACTGCCAGGTATCAGGCTTTGCTGAAACCTTAAGTGCCTCACACACACTCTGAAGTGTAAAGCATGCTCGACATCACATTGCCCGCTGCCAACCTACTTCAAAATAATGATCAGACCTTCATGGACACCAGCTCATCTACAAGCTTCTACATGATAAGTAGGGATAGTGGGTAGCTAGATACCCCATTTTTCCAGTATTCCATTCTGACATACAATTATCAAATACATTGGACACACCACCTCCCTGTGACCACACATCCACTTCTAGGTACCAGGTCCACTTTGACCTCATACCCCAGATTAATCGACAGCCATCAAACCATGCTGAGAACAGTTCACCTGCATGTCTTGTACAATACCTAGCAGTTTGCTTTGCTAGACACCTTTCTTCTGCTGAAGACACACGTACACTGCTAGGCATCAGCTTCTACTGGACTCCTTCCTATGCTGTACAATGTGCTGGGTCTCAGGCTCTACTGCTAGTTACTGGCCCATGCTGAACATTAACCCCTGTCCACACCACAGTGCATATAAAGTGCTGTGTGTCAGGTTCACTTGAACACCAGGCTCCATCACACATGACATTCTAGGTATCAGACAATGTTGACACACATTTTTACCTCCGATATACACTACTGGCCAATGAACACTGCAATTTTAAAGGCTTTGTTAGACACCTCTATCATTAATAAATACAAGTTTCTTGATTTCAGACACATCTCTGTGCAGATTCCAGTCATGTGTATTGAAGGATATTGTATGCATATACAACAATTGGCTTCAAGCCTTTCCCAAAATAGCACCATTCTGTTGACAACATACACTACTAGACAGGGGCTGGGTGTAAACATGGCTGAAAATTAGGGCTTTTCCGGCAGCAGTATGGGTGTAGGAAGAGAGACTTATTGGATGAGGCCATTATCATGCACAATACCTGGTTGGGACTGGGGAGTCCTGAGGATGAGATACACAGTAGGGCATCCAGGCCTCAGGCAGGTGTCCAGCAAAACCTGAAACCAAGCAGTGTGTTTCGG